ATTGAAATTGGCTTTCTGCCGCGGCACCGTTTTAAAGCGCCCTTCTGTTGCCGCGCTGTTGCCGCGGCGGTGATGACGCACGGTGATGACGTCGCGGCTTTAGCGATGCGATTTTATCACTGCTATTTTGACGAGCACGGTTTTGTCGTGCCACACGTTTTTCACCCTCCCAGAGCCTCTCTGCCAGAGGTGGGTTGCTTCAAGTTCGGCCAAACTGGTAGTGGAATTCAGGTTTGGGTCGCAGAACTGGCAGCGACCCAGGCTTGCCACGCCCCCGAACCAGTTCCCTCACCGGTGCTGGGTCGCCATCATTTTGGTTTTTAGTGACTGTGCATGCGCAATTCACTGTAAATTGTTCTGCGCATGTGCACACGAGTTGAGAACTGATAGTAAAACTGGCAGCAACCCACCTCTGCTCTGTACGGGCCCCGCATTTACCTGGCATCTAAAACGGGCCGCATGGCAACACCTGGGAGGGGAGGGGCAAGGTGGGTAGGGCCAGTCCTCGCAACTACCGGTTCAGCAAACGAGATGTAAAATTAGCATCCAGTTTGCTTGAACCAGGCCGAACTGGCTGAATCCCATCCCTAAATCAAATGCAGTTAATATATTTGTTCATCCCGTGTGATTATTTGCTGAGCGTGACCCTCACTCCGATTACTAGCCATTCTAGCATACCGTCTCTTCAATAAATTCTGCTTCAATTAAATCAGTCTATGGGTTTTTTTTTTTAATTTTTAGGATAGGATTAAACCACTGTTTACTCTTTTATCATAACACCTGGCTGGCTTGGAGCAGTAACTTTTCCATGTTCTTGCCCGGAAGAGATTATTATTATTATTATTTTACTCACCCTAAGTGACCCTGAAACAGCTTTTGATGGTTGAGCAATCTTGAAATCATCTCTTCAAAAGAAGAAGATACCTACCTTTCTGAACAACGCCAAATCCAGGAGGACATGCTGTGTGCTTCGAACAGAATTCAATGTTGAGGTACCGTCCTTCTACACACTCACAGACACGGTTTCCAGTGCTGGTGCATTTCATCTTTTCGTATTGCAGTTCCTTGCATACCACATTGCAGTAGTGACATTCTTCATTATCGTTCCATTCATCTGTATAAGTTTGATCTGGACAAAGAGCACATTCCGTCTTCGCTGTGGCTGTACAATGCTGTTTGACATAGGTTCCTGGAGGACATTGGTCACACATCAGCTGGCGAGAGGTGATAGGATCATAATGGAGATACTTTGGGGGAAGAGTTTCCTGGATTGTCCACTTGACTGAGAGGTCCAATAACTAATGAAATAAAATAAAAACATTGTTAAACTTTATATTATTATTATTATTATTATTATTATTATTATTATTATTATTAT